ATAAAAGTGCTTTTTTTTTCAGGCGAACCTGATTATTTTCAATTTGAGCTGTATAATATCTTCATGCACTATATTAACCAGCAACATATACACAATATTTACCCATCTGAATAAATCTCACAAGTGTTATCTGATTATAGCATCAAAAATTAGAGATTAATTAAGATTAATTAAGCGCTAGAACTAGAGACTTTTGACAGTACGTTTTACTGGTAATATGTACTTTTACTTTTAGGAAAAACTGTTTTGAATTCAAGGATGGGAGAGAAAATATCAGCAGCCTTTAAGCACCCATGAAGCTGCTATTTATATGCTCCCCGTTACACCTTGAATGAGGAGAAGTAAAGCTCCTATATGTGAAGAGGCTTATAATGGATGAGCAGAAAAACATGCAGTGTCTCACCCAAGGACACGTGTGGGCTGATGGATACTGAGTACATGCAAAGATCAAATCTGTGGCCACTGAATCCACTCGGTATGTGCATATTCCTTCCAATAATCAGTCAAATCTGGACCCAATCATCTCTCCGGCTTCTGTTCCTAAAATGTTCCCAAAGCTGATTTGATACTAGTTTCATATTGCCATCATGTCATTTATCATACACCATGCTGGATGTCTTTAAATGCAGCAGCAATGCTCGCTGCAGGCAGCTGGTCACTGCAGGAAGCTCCTAAAAGACAAATAATCCATATCTGAAGGAGGTGTTAGGACTCATTGCGCTGATCGCTATCCAACTAATGTGCCTTTCATCTTACATCAGAGTGCAAGCATGCGGTGGGGAATGGGTATCCAGGCCAGTGCACCCCTGTGTGTGTGTGTGTGTGTGTGTGTGTGCGTTATCTAGAATAATCAGATCTCTATTATGAGGCTAACAAGTTTAAAAAAGCGCCGGCGGTGAGCTGTGTGTCAACAGAACTCAACCTGTCATGACACCCTGAGGGCTAAAGAGAGAGCTAATAATGAAAGAATGAAGTTGTGTTCTGGCTCTCAGCGTGTGCATCTGTCTTTAAAATGAGATAGAAAAAGGTAATTGGGCGTGCTTGTGTGCTGGAGGGTGTTTCACAGCAGTAGGTTGAGCCCACAGGGAGCATGCAGAGAATCTCTGCTGCTCTGTGTCGCTGGAGTTTAACCCCGTGCAGCCATGTCTTCCTGCCTGCAGAGGGCAATGCAGCTCTAGTAAACCCTGCTCCACATTCAACAACAACAGAGTTTTGAGGGCTACTGACAACTGAGAGTCTTCTCCATTCATCTGGACTGAATTTAAGGATGTTTCCAGTGTCTGACCTAAGCCTGCTAGTAAATAAATAAAGGAAGAAAATGTAGCTCAGGAGACTCTAAATCTACTGTGTCCAGCCAGGAGCTGGAGGCTGGTTTTTAACTAAAGAACACAAAGCCTTCATCCTTTAGTGGACGCTGTGTAGTGTCTCATTATGTAAGTAAGCAGGGTAGAAAAGGAGAAAAGTCGAAACATCTGATGAGCAGAGCTTGTCTGAGTCTACGGAGCAGCTGCTAAATGTTCACAATGGCTGGTTGAATGTACATTTAATGCTGTTACATACAGAGATGCTGCCAGAAAAGGACAGAAAATTGTGAAAAATGTGGTGTCTTCATAGTACTCAAAGAGTTTCAGTTCACTGTC